GCTCCTCATCCTTCTCCTCCTTGTTTATCCCCCTCTCAACGTGTGTTTTGTTGATAACTCGAAACATTTTGTTCTGAGACTCTGCAAAATCGCTCCGATTTTGGATTTCATTCCACGGAATGTGGTACAGTGTACTAACGTTAGTACATGTACATGTACATGTCTCTACAAGATGTGGTCAAGTAACAGTTCTGTCACTTCACAGGAGTCTTTCAATAATGATTCCGTTCGGTTTCTTCCCTTCCTCGCACATACACGTACATGTACATGTACCCCGGACTGAAGAGTGTTTATAGACATGTGTTGCCTCTTCTATTCGTTGCCTGGTGGCAGTTACCGCTGCTGTTCTTTTCTTTGTTTCGGGGTTGTGTGCTTGTCGTGGGCCTTGGTATGCTTACATACATGTACTGTACATGTTTTTCGATTTTGACAGCATGTTACAAGGCGAGGACGCGTAGTGCTCCTGACTACAACCATAACCCGGTTGGCAGAGTCCCGGTCTTGCGACCATTTGAACCGTATTGGGAAAACCCAGGTTCGGACCCTCGTTACTCTACGGGTTGGTAGGATTTTTTTTATAATTTTCGTTTTTTGTGTTGTAGAAGTCGTCGTGTTGCCGCCGTAGTATTGTTCACGTTGCTGCCGCTGACTTCTACAACACAAAAACGAAAATTATAAAAAAAATCCTACCAACCCGTAGAGTAACGAGGGTCCGAACCTGGGTTTTCCCAATACGGTTCAGATGGTCGCAAGACCGGGACTCTGCCAACCAGGTTATGGTTGTAGTCAGGAGCTCTACGCGTCCTCGCCTTGTAACATGCTGTCAAAATCGAAAAACATGTTAAACTACCAAGCAAGGTTTCTGTATAATAATGTACTGTACATATAGAGCGAAGAAAACGAGACGACATAAGGAGTAGTCTCCTAACCCCCTAGCATAATGAGGGTCAGAACCGGGTGCGATACCCATAATTATGGTTCAAATGGTCCGCAGGGACCGGGGCTCTGCCAACCGCGGAAGGTTGTAGTAAGGTCACTGTTTCCGAACACAGTGTCCTCCACCTTGTTTCATGCTGTCAATCTAACAATTGCGTGAACTATAACAAGGTTTATCTAATACTGGTTTTTAACCAGTGTTAGGTTATATCATGTACTGTGCATGTACAGCTGCAGAGTAGTGGGCTAGTGAAGGGGATGGATCTGCATGAGACGAATGCACGATTGAACTGAAGGGTCGGTTGGATTTTTCATGGGCCGTCAAGGCAATGTGTGAACTTATGACCCGTGTGGTGTGGCGATGTGGAGATGCTGTGCGGGGGGGGGGGGGGTGGTCTCTTGCGTTTTGGTTTTGTGTTTGTTGCAGTACCCTACTGTTAGTACTGTTGTTGGACGTGCTGTTCGCTGTCACGGCAACAACTGTATCAGTATTTCTATCGACTGTTGTGAGCCATTGCCGAGCCACCGCGCTCTCAGCAGAGACATCTGTGTGTGTTGTTGTAGCTGTGAGAGTGGACCACAAAACATACAAAATAATTTACTTCTGAGGAAGCCTCTTGTACTGGAAAATGACACAATGAATGCAATGTTCGAAAATGTAACGAAAACAAATAATACACAAGAAGAAATGAGGACCAAAGAGCTACAAGTTACGCTATAACATCCACTAACACCATCAGTTACTTTACAATCAGCTCATGCGATAACATTGCACGATACTGACCAACGATAGGGTCCAGCGGATAATGCCGGCACTATATTCGGCATTATAGGACTATCCGAGCATCAGACTCAGAGCATTGTGGAGTATTTATAAAAGAAAGGAAAAAACGAGCATGTTGTGAGATTTGAGCGGCATTTGGATTTTCACAGTGGATAATAATAATTATCGGGAAATCCCAGCTTTTGGGCCACAATCGGCTACACTCATGTCATGAGGTAGGCGCAGCTCCTCGTGTTGCCAGGTTACTGGATCGTGGATCCCTTTGTGTAGACAGTCACACGTAACACTTTTAGCACTTGATGTAGCATTGACTACTAGTACTGTATTTTTTTAGTACAACTACAAGTCATGTATGTATGTAGTCAGGGCTATCTACTGCCCAACCAAAGCTGTTGCAAAAATTCGCAACAATGATCTGCAAGGAGGAAACTGTTTGGTCGAAAACATAGAAAGTCATGGAGTAGAGGTGAATATCGAAAAGCCAAAGAGAAGTTTCTCGTTGTGCCTCAGGCTCTGAAGATAGTGTCACTAAGCTAGTAGTAGTAGTAGTAGTAGTAGTAGTGATACTGAAGTAGACGCCCATCTTTAGATAAATGTGTACCAGGCTGAAACAGCAGCTACAAGCAGAAAGAGATGCATGTTGTTCCGACGAACTGCCTTTGCTGAGTCCAGCCGAACTGGCTCGAAAAGAACTAGAATTACTCATGGATTCAGCACCAAGCGATTAGTCGTTAGGAGCGCTCTGCAGCAGCGCGTGTCTGAGTTTCCTGATGAAACACATACAGTTAGATGTCGACAGCTGTACTCCCAAGACAGCAGTGACTGAGTCAAGTGCTATCAACATAAAAGAGTACTCTTGTCAATGTTGCCACCCAGTTGTCTATGCAACACCACAAGGAGAAGACGGCTATAAAATTAAAGTAACTGGAGCAGCAAAATAATCTGGCCACATTTTTTCACGCTCACGGCAAATGGAAGGGATCTGGATTCAAGATCAGCCTAATATCTGCTGTTTCAGATGAAAATATTATTCACTGTCACAGAACCAATGGCAATGCAGTGACAGCTTGTTTTGCAGGCAGGACTGCCAGTTGCCATGATAAAACTCATCCCAATGATCCCTAACATAGTTTTCACATGTCACTCCCTGGATAATGCCGGGATAGTATTATACACTATTCAGCCATAGCCCTGTGTCAAAGCTGCAATGGAGAGCAGCCACTGGCCACTCGATTATGTCTTATAGTGTTACAAGGTGGTGGAGCTTGTGGGAAATATTGCGCCGGATTCAGTGGCAGATTGAATATGTGCAGCCCTTCTTCCTTTCTGACCCAAACCTAGAGCATTATAGGCAAAAATTATAGCCCTTGTTTAACTCGTATCCATATGTCCTTTTCTCTTCTACAATTATTATTATTATTATTAAATTTTGATAGGGCAATCCCCACAGGCCTAAGGCCTTCTTACAGGGTACCCTAAATGTGCCAATACAAGGTAACATAGAGGAGTGAGAAACCACGCATACACACACGGCCATGCCCTAAGCATATTTTTTGTCTAAACCGAAAGATTATGCCGAACTTACACGTTGGAATCCGTATATTATGCCGGAGCATAATTTTTTGACGAAATCCCAAGATTATGCCAAATATTATGCCGGCATAATCCGCCAAGGGCTATGACAAGGAGTCGTAACTGGGGTATTTAAAAAAAAAACATCTGCAGGCCTTCTGACAAAGCTGTATTATGCCCCTAAGCATAATTTTTGTCTAAACCAAAAGATTATGCCGACCTTACACGTTGGAATCCGTATATTATGGCGGAGCATAATTTTTTGACGAAATCCCAAGATTATGCCAAATATTATGCCGGCATAATCCGCCAAGGGCTATGACAAGGAGTCGTAACTGGGGTATTTAAAAAAAAACATCTGCAGGCCTTCTGACAAAGCTGTATTATGCCCCTAAGCATAATTTTTGTCTAAACCAAAAGATTATGCCGACCTTACACGTTGGAATCCGTATATTATGGCGGAGCATAATTTTTGACGAAATCCCAAGATTATGCCAAATATTATGCCGGCATAATCCGCCATGGGCTACTCAGTACTCCTTCAAGTCCTTGTCAGTTTTTGTGCCCGATTTTGTCGCACTCACTGACTGTATTAGATCTGGTTACGTTGGTGGACAGTTTGTCATAACTCGTAACATTTTATCCTTTTCCTTTCTTCATAATAAAATAACTATATTGGCTCAACATCCGAGTTCAAATGATAATAATAGGGCACAAAACTCGGGTCGTTGAATGTCTCAAGCTCAGTAGCCTGTCAGTTTTGTGCCCTACTAGTATTATCGCACTTTCTGACCGTTTATCATCTTGTGTCAAAAATTTGTCTCTTTCCCTCAAAACCAGTTAATAATAACAATAATAATTGTTACACTCAGTCGTGGATAGTTGCTGCATAACTGTTTCTTCTCCTTTTTACAAATAATAATAATAATAATAATAATAATTCAGTATTTTGCTTGCAGATCTACCTTTTTATGGTAGGAACGGGCAGAAGTACCCCCCCCGGCCCCCGGGCCCCCGTTAAGTCTACCTTTGACTTGCACTCGGGAGCCCGGATCGGAGCTTCACTGCCCCTAGGCCCTGCTGTATTTGGTCTAAAGAATGCCTCTGATCTGAGCTGACCACCTGAGGTAGATCTACATGTAGGTTTACTGCATACATATCAGGAACGGGCAGTGTAGTGACTATACTTGTACTTGTAGGTCTACCTTTGGCTTTCGCATGCACTCGGGATCCGATCGGAGCTTCCACTGCCCCTATATATCTAGGCCCCTGCTGTATTTTGGTGTAAAGTTTATAAACCCTGGGGTTTTGTACCGGTGTACCCTTGATATTATGGACATTGGATGTTGTATGAAGACTGTGCATTGCTGCACTCGCACGACAGAGAGGATCTAAAATCGGGAGCAGTGTTTTCCATATAGAGTGTCCTCCGCCTTATGTCACCCGTAGTACATCTACCCAGGCCAGTAGGTCTACAAGTGCAGTGCCCATGGCCCACCCTTTTGCAAAGCTCTCACTTCTCAGGTAAATGGACTATTTCCTACAGTAGTTCGAAGGCGCCGGACTTGCACTGGCAACTGGACTGAGTTGAGATTCGGTTTAGTTACAGCTACCTACGGGAGTGTTGTTTCTTACTTTGGTTACCGTCTGATAATTATGATAATTACCGTCTGATACAGATGCTATGATGTGACGACCTATAGTTGTAATGGCGAACAGCGCATCTCTCGTGCTGTCTATGCTCGCACTGCAGTCATTAGTTTCCAATCACTTCGTCCTATCACAGTTCCCTGTTGAATGTTTAGCCGGACGACACCAGCCTCGCCAACAGAAAGTGCTGTCCAACCGTGAGGATATTAGGTAT